GGGATGAAAACACTAGGTAAAAATGCTTCCGTAGTATGGAAAATACTGTATGTAATTGTATGTAGATAGAGTGGGTAGAAGTTGCCGGTGTTTCGCATATGAAGTCACCGTATATTTCCAACTGAAATCACATCAATCTCAGAAAACGATCCAATGTCGCCCTATACACACAGACAAAGATCGGCATGTTTCAACATGTCGTTTTCTTAAGGCGACGTCACCCTCGAAATTGGATGAATGAGGAACGTCACCCTTCAATGCCACCTCAATTGGGATAGTCGCCCCCAACACACCCCCAGGGCTAGAACTTCACCTCCCCAGGGGCATCAAAAGCCGCACCTGTCACCCCAAGATCCGCAAATGGCCCAATCTAGAAATGTGCTACACGTCCCGTTTCGCTCCTGAAACGTGTGCGCATGTCGACAGCGCACAAGTTGCTTCCCTGACTGACGAGCAGTAGTTTTGCTCCTACTTGTGGTACAATTGCCAAGTGGCGCTACGGTACTAGGCGGGCGCCAGAGACCTCGCCAAGTACAGTAGTAAGATGTTAACCGATACGGTGCATACGTGGCCAGCACGTGTACATGTGGCCACGTGGGAGTCCACGTGTAGTTAGTGGCACCAGCTAGTGCAGGTGTACACGTGGTGCGCGACCGATCGGTGGGTTAATACAGTAGTCATTTTTAGTTACCGTAAGCTACAGTAAGCTGGCTATAGTATGTACAGCTACTGTAGTCCGTCCGGTGCCACCGCCCTACTAGGGGGTATAAGATAGGGGGGCACCGGGCTGGAGGTAAACCAAGGCAAGCACGCCTCCCCTTACTTCCTACCCTAGTCCTTTTACCGTACGGTTAAGTAAGTCCTTCAGGTTTTCAGCTCGCCACCGGTCGTACTGCTCTACACCCCAGTACGACTGCGCGTGTCCAGTGCGGTGTTCCTCTCTTGTCCTGTGCTTCTTACCGTTCCGGATTATTCTACCTGACACTCCAGTGTAGCGGTCCCCCAGGCTCCCTCATTGTTAGGTACAGCCTGTCCTTTTCCGTTTACGATTTAGCGTCCCTACGGTTGTACCACACTACTCACGGGTCTGAGAGGCCCGTTCCTAAGTCCGGGATGATTCTTCCCGAGGTCAGGGCCATTTCATTCATCGTGATTGGCAATCATGCAATCACGCAATCACGCGATCACGACATTAATTTAACGTCGTTCTGCATCGTTCCTTTCTCCAACGTGTGCTACTTATAGCTGTAAGCACATTTCCACGGCTCTGGATGGGCAAAGGTTTCATAGGAGGTAATGATGGCACGGCAAAGAGAGTATATCCTGCTTTCTGGCTTTCCCACAGGTGCAACCTTGGGTTGCACAAGCAGCGCGTTGATTATCATTTCGAAATGTACGAATATTTGAATGGGGTTTAAATCTTTTAGAATTGCAAGGAGCATTTACAGGAAGTTGGAGCACAAGATTAATTTTAAGTCGATTGTTTATTTCTTTAATCAGCATGACCATGTTTTAGGAAACGTAATATACACAACCAACCACAAGGGAGCAGGCACCATTTATTGATGTCAAAACCGTAACAATTTGTTCTCTGCGTTGGTAGAATATTTACCGAAGTAAATATATGTCTGACTTCAATGTCGAGTCAGATCTTGAAAAGCCGACCCTTCCGAGAGCGCGTGCCGCGTACGACAGGAACTGTCGGGAGGAGTTGGTCTCTCCGGTTTGTCCACAAACGGGCCGCGTACAGCAGGAAGGTAGACTACCGAAGGGCAGCGGATGCAACAAGTCACCGTTGCCCGGAGACAGGGGTGCCGAGTTGGATAGGCTGATTCCGTGCGCGAGGTTCTAAGATTCAAACGCGAAGTATGTCGCCGCGTGGTTCAACAGTCTCCTCACTGCTCGGTTGTCAATGCTTGACGCCCTCTCGAGCCTTCGACTATGCCGGACTAGTTGCACTAGGATTTGGTTGCGCAATTAAAGCACTGTGTTGTTCTGTTCTTTTGTTCGTTGTTTTTTTTTGATATCTATCCGCAAACGTATCTACTTATATCGCTAATGCAGAGCTACTTCATTCCTAATGCTCCAGCTAGGTGCCTCTCGATAAAGCAAAAACGATGGCCGCTGGCAGGATACTGTATTTGGCGCATATGCCATGTATGCGATATCAACCCTGAATTTCAGATTCCCATTTCGAGAATCGCAAGCCTGATTTATCATATCCATTTCCTTCGTTGGTTCCATGCGTGCAGATTAACAATTGACGTGATTGTGTGATTGCGTGATTGCGTGATTGCCAATCACGATGAATGGAATGGCCCTCAGTGAGGACGTGGGGGCTCCCGGACGAAACGCGAAAGCCGGCTGGGACATCCCTGAGCAGACATGCCTCCCCCTTCTGCGCTGCTGCTGTTGCTCCTCCGCCAAAGAAGTAATCGCAGGCGCTGCCTCACCTTCCGCACGATGTCCTCCTCCACATTCTCCACCGCATGACCCCCGCCCAAACCACCCTCTTCTCCCAGCTGTGCACCACCACCGCGGCGGCCGCCACGGACCCGGCCATCTGGGCCTCGCTCTCGCGCCGTCATTTCAGCATCGCCCCCACCCAACACGCGCTTTCCGCCGCCACTCTCTCTTCGCTCGCCGCCTCCCTCGTGTCCCGCTGGTGGCTCACCACATGCGCCTTCGTCCCGGGCGTCCCTGTCCACTTCCGCAAGGGCTTCACCGAGGTCCACGCCCGCGGCGGCGTCGAGCGCGACGTCGCCGAGGGCTCCGTCGCCGCCTACGTCTTCGGCGGCCGCCACAAGGACGCCGCCGTCCCCGTTGCCGTCCCCGCCGTCACGGCCGTCCCCGCCATCACAATGCACTTCTTCCTCGAGGCCGCGGGCCCGTTCCACATAGAGGGCATGCTTCTGCGCCTCTTCCACGTCCCCGAGCCCGTGCCGCGCGAGCCGCCCGCCTTCCCGCCGTCGGCCCCACCCCCGCCCGACGCGCACGCGTGCGCGTCGTCGTCAACGGCTCGACTCTGCTCCCGTGTGCCGTTTTTGTGTGGCTTGCGCGCGAGGCACGCTTGTTGGTCGGGATAGCGAGAGGAGAGGTAGGGGCTTTATGTTGTTGTAAAATATATCGTTCTTTCTTGCTAGGATGTTACTGGGGTTTTTTCTGAGAGCGCGCGATGCTGGCGAGAGCTGGAGGATGGGAGCTGGAGGATGGGGCTGGAGGATGGAGGATGGAGGATGTTGGAGGCGGGAATGCGGCAGACAGAGATGCGCTTGTTGGGGGAGGCTGCTATACTGCTTTGTCGCTCTCACTCCCGCCAAAAATGCGCTTCGTGTATTTACACATTTGCCTTGTTCGTGGTCGAGCCTCAACCAGTTTTGCCGTTTGTGTGTACACAAATTACATAGCAGTCACCAAGCACAGCTCCCACCGCCCGCCGGTGGGCGTATCCAGGGCCGCGTCTGCTCATTTCATGTGCGAGCGCACGTGGACCACGCCCGGGCCGCCGCCCTCACGCATGTGCGCGCGCAAGGCGGGCTCGTACAGCGTGAGCTTGCCCTCGTCCTTGACGGGGTGGACATCGCCGGGGAGCAGCTCGAAGAGCTCGCCGTTGCGGCGTGCCGGGTGGACCTGGGCGTCGCGCAGGGCGTGGTCATGCAGCAGCAGCGGCGAGACGTGGGCGCCGTCGGCGAGGGCAGCGCGCGGGACGAGGCAATCCGCGCGCGCGACGACGCAGGCCGCGGGCGTGAAGACGCGCGAGGAGGACTGGGTGTTGACGCCCGCCGTGAGAAGCGAGAAGAGGTGGTGCGAGACGTTGTAGGCACGCGCGTGCAGGGCGAAGGCTGCCGGCTGCTTCCAGGACGGCGAGGAGGAAGGGTGTGCGGGCGAGCGGGAAAGGGGACGAGGAGGAGCGGCTGGAGGAGCGACAGGAGAGGCAACTGCGGGAGCTTGGGCGCAAGGGCGGGGAGGAGGGAAAGGGGGAGGGGGGCGGTCGTAAAGGCGGTGGGGCGGCGGCGACGGTGCGGATGCGCTTGTGTCGGTGGTGGGGGTGATAGAGCACGGATGGATGTCGACGTGTTCAAGCTGACCTCACTCCACCTCACTCCACCAAGAGCTCCTTGGTTGGGAACAGCCAATTGGCGGAGGGTTAGTGGGATACATTGCTGGCATGCGGACACGAGAGCTCCCGTGGGACTGCCGGGAAACCACTGCGTTAGCCCCACTTGCACAAACTCTGCGACAGGGGTACGATCCTCAGAGCTTGCCGCAGCACTTATTCACGCTCACTAGATACATCGATTGACGACAAAGATCAGTTGGACACCCGGCGATGCCCCCGCTGTATGGGGGTAGAGGAATTGCAAAGGGACGCAGCGGGCAATTCCCGGCAAGAACGGCAGCACCCGGCTGCGGCCGTGGCCTTAACACAGAATTGGCGGAGGTCAGTGGGTCGTCACGGATGGGGCGGCGCGGGGCACAGGCGAGAGTGTGCGTGATGGTCAGGAGCGACAAGGCGTGCGGCCACGACTGTGCGTTAAATCGCATCTTTCGACGGATATTGTACCAAGGCCTGCCTGTTTCTTCAAAGACTGCCGGTCCGTGCGTCGTACGTTATAGACAGGAGCCCTCTTCCTGGGCGAGTACGGCGTGTCCAGTATTACCGAAACGACTCTCGTGGCGTGGCAGCGTCCGTGACTGCTCCCAAGGCCTCGCTGGAGCGCGCTCAACACGAGATCCCCGCATGTTCTCGTTTTGTACCAGTGACGTCGGCGACGCTAGGGTGACGTCGAATTCGCCCCTCGTGGGTCCAGGAAAGCGCGTCTCGACAGGACCTCCGACGCCCCACTCGGCCTCTTCACCGTTACAGCCATTTGGACTCGCAGGTCGGCCTTTTGCAAGTACAATCGCGTGATCGTGCCATATCTATGAGTCTACTGTAGTATCCAATTGACCCAGGACAGCCTCAGAACCCGTCCTCTCGCCTTCATGCAACTCTTCCCTTGCGTAGAGTTATATGCGATGTTTATCCTGTATATGAGACAGTGCCCGTGTCTGCGGTCCCCAGAATTCGACCCGTGATGTCTTGCCAGCCCTCCGCCCACCCGCTACGAAGTGTGATCCCTCTATCCACGTCCCACGCACACACAGTCTCGTCCCAGGGTGCAGACATCACATGTCTTCCGTCCGCACTCATGCCAACACTGCTCCCCCTGTACGCGAGTCCTGTCAACGAGCCCCCTCCTTGTGCTCCGTCTGGTACGAATGCGGCAACCGCAGTGCAGTGTGCGTACGCCTCGTTGTCAAAGATGGACTGGCGTTTCATGAAGCCGGGTGATACATGCAAAACACGAACTGAAGATTTTCATGGCTCCTTTACTGTCATCCTGGCGATGATGCTCCCGCCAAAACTTTCATACTTTCCTTCCTACTCCTTGCGAAGCGCATACAGCTGATGCCACCTGCAGAGCGCCCCGTCCCAGCCTGCACTGTCGTACACGTTAACTCAGCCCAAAAATATGTCGTCACCATTTCCGTCTTCGATCACCACAGCAAGGTACGAACACTGCGCCCTAGCCAGTGAAGGGCGTCTTCCCGGGGAGCACCGTCTTCCGCTTCCCTAGCCATGTCCAAGTATCTATATGCTTGCACGAGCCACCCAAGATTGAAGAATACTTTCCTGTTCAACCTAAGCAATCCGTCAATGTCAGCTATGTCCATTTCTTGTGCATAGACCTCTAGGATTTCCCGGTTGCACCAGTCGACATCAAACAAAGGATGGCCCGCAAAAGAGCTGTCAAAGTCGAAAAACCGGACCCCTGGACCCTCATCAGCGTTCTTCCTGATTAGGTTCCCGTCGCTCGTGTCATTGTGTATCAAACAATTAGGCATTTCCCAATCAACAAGTTCCGTCAGATCATCTTGCAGCTTCACCTTGAGGCTCGACAGCTTCTGTATTTGTTCCGTTTCTAGCACGGACAAAAGCTCCTTACACTGAAAAAGTGAGTTCAAGTTCTCACGCATCCACAGCGGTGAATAACATGGTAGACCGGCCTTCAACAAATCGGGCAACACTTTTGCGCTTGCGCGGTGCAGACGCGCCAGATCTCTTACGACCTGCTTACGCCCTTCACCATCCAATCCACAGAAGCCAGTCTCGTCACCGTGGTCCACAAGGATCATTTGACGACGTTCCACATCTGCGAATAACGGCTTGGCGACAAGATCTGGAGCAACGCGAGACATTATTGACGTGACTCCAGCATCGTTCGACGTGGATGTACTGCATTTTAAGTAGTAATCGCTCTCATTCGTCTTGATCCTTAGCACGGCTCCTCTGGATGACGCACGGATCTGAACCAATTCACCCATCACATGCAGATTGTGCCCATGCAATATTTCGCGCACCTTTCGAAGCGTTTCAGGATACCATCCCATAGACGCCCAAGGCACTCGTCTAGGCGGCGAAACGTTGGCTATGGTCTGTTCCAGTTCTCGCCGAATGGCTTGCTCCGCTCCTTTCTCCGAGTGCGACACATGGACAACACCCGCTCTGTGATCATTGGTGATGGCCACCCAACTGCATCCAGAAGGCACTCGTTGAGATTTCTCATGGCACTGAGCAACAAGAATAGCGCGGATCATACTAGCTGAAAGACCATCACTTTCCCTTTCAACGGACAACTCCTCAGAGTAGCAATGTCGAAGAATAATGAACGGAAATTCGATCCCAATGACCGTCTTGGCAGCGCTGCGCACCTTCACTATCGAGCTGTCACCTACGTCGTAAGAAATAAATCCCGGAAGCCTCCATTCATCAGGACCACTTGCCACAAGCAAAACGTATTGTTGAGTCACATCAAAGGTAAGAAGCTGCACCTCATTGACTAAATCCCTTTCACAACGTGCTCTGGACGACTCGTAGATAGGCTGTTCGCTGCGGAGTGCCATCTCTTTCAATCCTAGAAGCAATCTTGCGTGTTCGAGTTGTCGTGCTTGGGATATTTTCCGTTGAAGACTTTTGAGGTTGAGCATGTACTAGATCGCACTACTGTAGGCTCCACAGTTCGAAGTCGGACAAGTCAAGCGTGGACTAAATGAGCCTCGTGGTACCTTGGTACAGACGGTTGTACAGACGGTTGTACAGACGGTTGTGCAGACGGTCGCGTAAATTTTGAATTTCTTTTCAGAGCATAATAATAAGTGGATTCATTCAGTATGAGGCCATTGGTCGCCTAGATACCACCGTAATGTTTCTGGACTGCGTCTGCATTTTTGTATATTTTAAACAACGCGTCTGCACTGTAAATACTCCAACCGCATCTTGAATGATGTCAACGTGTACCCTTCTGGGAGGCTCATTTCTGAAAAGGGGTTAATTTTGAAAACCCCTCTACACGTAGCGTCGAGGAGGACAACTATGGAAACATCACTGTACAGTGATCTCTCGATAAGCGGAACCAGCACGGGAGAACCCCTCCGGTTCCGCTTAAAGGGGGTTCCGCTTATCGAAGTATATCATACCGAGCACTGTTCACCAATCATTTCACATCTTCATAATTTTATTTAAAAAAGCTATCGATGGTCGTTTGCTGCATAGACTGCGTACAGTACAGACGTACAGCGGCCTGCATTTTGCGCACAGTCCGCAGAAAATCTGCACCTCCCTCACGCGTACTTTCTGCGATGCGCTTTGTTAAAGCTAGCGCCCTGAGCTGCTCCTTTCCGCACGGCAGTTCGGCACAGCCATCCACACTTTCGTCACTGCTAGTCTCTTTTTCTCTGCTGACCACGTCAGCAATATTTGCATCTCTCCAAAGCTCTGTGCATTCGTCCTCACCCTCAGCATTAATGTAGTATAGTGGCGGTCGCCAGCTATGAGCTAGCTCGAGGAAGAGGTGACAACCAATAGGGGGTGTCCCGCGGTAGATCGGGACTGTGGTAGAGCAAAGGGGGAGTACGTCGGCCGACTGTAAAAGCACGACGTACTGGTCGAAGTGCGGACCCTTAATGGGACCAGCACTGGAAGGGGTGGTGTAAGAACACACAAAACAGGGGTGAACCCGAGCCTAAAGACTAGTGTCAGACACGGGCGGAGCGCCGAGTAGCGGAAACTCCTAGAGGGAACGAGCGGGACAGATGTCAATAGTGCCGCCAAGGCCAGAGGCTTGTCGTAGCCCGCGACTTGACAATCGTCACAATGCAGGGAGAGAGAAATAGGCCGTGCGACAGTAATACGCCCAGGTTAGAGGCCAGTCTTAGCCCGCGTGGTCGCAACGACAGAGTAAAAAAAGGAAAACAATTGAGACGTCGAGCGACAGTAACACGCCGAGGTTAGAGGCTAGTCTTAACCCGCGTAGTCGCAAAGACGGAGGAATGGAAAAGGTAAAGTAAAGGCAATAGAAGCCAGGGAAACGTCGCAAGACAGATGCAGACAAGGTCGCCTAAGTCAGAGGCTTGTCTTGACCCGCGGTGTCGCACCGTCGAAGGAAATCCGTTCCCAAAAGATCCTTGACTGTTTACTGTCATTGCCCGGCGCCGTCGCTTAAATAAGCGAGGTCGCGGGGTCTTGGACATTGTCCGTCCTACTGTACTACTGTACTCTATTCTGTAATGCACTGTACTGTGCCATTACTACTGTACCTTGTCATATACAACCTCCGGGCTGTAACGTATACAGTAGATCTTCCGCCTGTAAGGCACCCGTGTAGTCCATCGGCCTGTAATGCCCACGTGTAGTCCGTGTGGTTCCACCCAGATAAGACAGCACACTAGACAGTGCACTGCCATTAGGGCAAAGATCCCGCACACTCCAATAAAGCCGCCGTCGCCCCCCGACCCACAGAGGTCGAGGGGGCATCGGACTCTTTCTGGCACCACAGTCCGTCCGTCTGTAAGGCACACGTGTAGGCGTCCGCCTGTAATGCCCGTGTGAGCGTGCGCGTGCGCGTGTAATGCACACGTGTAGTCCGTCCGCCTGTAAGGCCCCCGCGGCGGCGGGTGCCGTACAAATTACAAATCTGGGCTGTGATACCACAATTAAGTAAACCTGCAATAGAAATATGTCGTCCTACAGGCACTAATTACTCCATTTGCCGCTCAACCTCTTGCACCAAGCCACTCTCGTCTTCCATAGATCAATCATAGGCTCGGCCTGAATTAACCCTGTGTGACATCAGCAATTTGCAATAACATCTGACGGCAGATGCTCCCAACACATCTTAAACCATGGCATTGCTGTTAGAACGTAAACTTTTTATATATTTTTGCTTCCGTATCAATGTTGTCCTGTGCACGATCCATTTTCCGGCGCCTGTATCGAAGTTCTAAAGCTGCAATTATGCCTGCATCGAGAGGTTGGATTTTAGAGCTGCAATTTGGGGGCAAGAACACGACCTTCACATTAAGGAGAGGTCGCAAGTTAGCCTCACTCCCATGCGCAGAGCAATTATCAATTAAAAGCAGAACACTCCTCCCCGGCGTTTTGGCGACATACACCTGAAACCGCAGTATGCAATCATTAATTAATTTGGCAGTCATCCAAGCCTTCTTATTGGAGTAATAATCGAAGCCAAGCTCTGCAGCAGATTTTTAGTTAAAAGCTCGACAATTTTTTGATTTTCCGACGACCATAATTTCGATTTTTTCAGACCTGTATGCGTTCCAGCAAAGCATGAATGTTAGCCTGTCTTTTGACTTTTTGCCTTGCACGCGAGAATTTGAAATTGTTGTGTCAGGAGCTAAAGAGTAGTGTGGTATAACTACCTTCGTCCCGACCACTCGGAAACGAGGGGGGCTAGAGATAAGGCAGCGCGCGCCGCTGAGTAACCCACGCGCGAACGCAAATCGTACGGAAGGACTCGAAAAGAGAGAAGACTCACGTGGCCGGTGACGCGCAGCCGGTCGGTGATGTTAGATCCGGACGGCCGGTCACGGGTTAGAAGCCTGAGACAAAAATGGACACCGGAACGGGATAACAATTAGCCGTAAAGAGAAGGGAGGCGAGTCTGCCTCCCGTTTACTGGAACGGGGCAGGTGCCCCCCGTCTTAACCCCTAAGTGGGACGCCAGGACACCTGTCCCGCAACAGTAGCTGTTACTTACTGTATACCAGCTACCGTGCTAAATTGGCTAATTTGTGCCATTAACTACTAATTACTAATTACTTACCGTTCGGATCCTACACGTGTAGCCGGCGGGGTACTACTGTACTCTGCACCGGCCGTCAGCTGTAAATATAACTCCTTACGGTTCTGCTCGCGCTTACAGCCCATCGTACTGTATCGCGGGGCGGCAGCGGTGGTGCCGTTGCCTTCGCGCCGTTGTATCATCGGGTGCACAAAATCTGGGTCAGAGGACTAATTTGGGTCGCTTTAGCAATTAAAATTATCTACATGCGCCATTTCAAACAGCCTTCGAAACACTGTAGTTCGCCTGCCGTCAGAACGGCTCATACGATTTCAAATCTGACACGACGAGCCTTTTTGGCGGGCTTCATTCAATCGATCACGAACTTTGTGCCTCGATTTCCCTTCACAATCCGCCACAGCAGCCTCGCGACTTCGTCACTTCCCTCCTTTTGTCATTCGCATCCTCGGTGGCCTCGATGATCCCAAAACGCGTACTCGCTCCAAAACCTGATGCACGAAGCGAGCAGTACGACAAAGCCCTTCACAGTCTACGAACCTCCAACATCTCAATACGCAAATGTGCGAAGTCACATTGTGTGTCATATTCAACACTTCACCGTTGAGCAAACAGACGAACAAAGCACTTCAGAGACGAGGCCGCAAACCCCTCTTTACTCGAGATGAAGAGACCATCATCAAAAATGCACTACTGTCATTCTCACACAGCGGAACGCCACTATCACGCAGCTGCTTCAAGGATTTGGTGCAACATTTTGTAAAGTCACTCCCGCAATCACGTCAAACCAAACTCCCTTTCACAGATTGCAGACCAGGGGATGGCTTCGTGCGCAATTTCTTGGGACGGCATAAAGAGATCTCATTGAAAAGACGAGCGCAACTGGAGAAGCCCCGACAATTGGCGATAGCACCGACAAATCTCGCCAAGCATTACGTCCGGCTTATGCAAGTGTACAGGGAATATCAAATTGAGTCTTCCGCGCAAATCTTCAACATAGACGAGAGTGGATTTTCGACACGCACTGCCGCTCGGTCTCGAACGAAAGCTCTTTTCGATTGCCATGGACGCAGCAATTCAGTTGAGCTAAAATGGAGTTCTAATGCCCAACATGTGACCATAATGCCAGTTATTTCAGCAGATGGAAGGGCCTGGTGTCCGCTTGCAGTGCTTCCAGGCAAAAAGGCAAAATACAGGAAGCGTACAGATGGCACCATCGAGACCCCTCTTACATTCCTTCCCCCCAATGCGCATTGCGTTTGCAGAGAGAAGGCTGGTGTCGACACTGGGATTTTCTATCAGTGGGGACAGAAGTTTGTACAGGAGACGCATCAATTACGGCAAAGGTTCCGCAATATTCTCCTCGCCCTCGATAGATACGGTGCGCACTGTTCGTACAAAGTATTGAAGTTATTCTGGGACAATCGAATTGTCATCGTTGGCCTAACTGCTCACACCAGCCACCGCACGCAGCCTTTGGACTTTTCGGTTTTTTCCCCCTACAAGACTGCATTTCGGAATGACCTTAACCGACGGACTGTCGTCGTAAAAGACAATGCAAAAAATGATGTGTACACGGTATGCGAGCTTCTGACAAATGCGTACAATCAGGCAGTTAACTTTCAGAACATCAGGAGCGGCTTCAGGGCGTGTGGGCTATGGGACTTTGGCAAACGCGGAGTTAACCCGAATGTAATCCAAGCGACGGATATCACCAACCTCGAAGGGGCTCAGTCCCAGTCGGCCGCATTCGAGTCGTACCGTGAACTCGTTACAAGTTTTAAGGAGTCATGTAATTTGGTGCGCAGCGATGGTGAGGTTTTGTTAAATAGTACAGTTAATACGAGAAGCGGAGCATTGCTGACGGGTGACGCAATTCTTTCTGTTTTG